TTGTTCTACTGACGTCTAACCCCTGGTTAGCTCAGTTGGTAGAGCGGTCCACTTGTAATGGAGAGGTCCCGGGTTCGATACCCAGACCAGGCGGATTTTTTCGGTCGCTCACCAGTCACCTAGCTGTGTTTGGAGATTTATGTTTGTCCCTCGTCCCTCTTGTTCCCCTTCTCCAGGGATTATTTTCATCTTTATTGTCCAGCTCGCTTGCCCCTTTGCATTTAATTGTGTTATAATTATAACATTAAATTGCAAGCTTCACCCTTGTTGGTGTTAGACTGGTGGCAGCTGATAAAACCCGTTTGTTCTACTGACGTCTAACCCCTGGTTAGCTCAGTTGGTAGAGCGGTCCACTTGTAATGGAGAGGTCCCGGGTTCGATACCCAGACCAGGCGGATTTTTTCGGTCGCTCACCAGTCACCTAGCTGTGTTTGGAGATTTATGTTTGTCCCTCGTCCCTCTTGTTCCCCTTCTCCAGGGATTATTTTCATCTTTATTGTCCAGCTCGCTTGCCCCTTTGCATTTAATTGTGTTATAATTATAACATTAAATTGCAAGCTTCACCCTTGTTGGTGTTAGACTGGTGGCAGCTGATAAAACCCGTTTGTTCTACTGACGTCTAACCCCTGGTTAGCTCAGTTGGTAGAGCGGTCCACTTGTAATGGAGAGGTCCCGGGTTCGATACCCAGACCAGGCGGATTTTTTCGGTCGCTCACCAGTCACCTAGCTGTGTTTGGAGATTTATGTTTGTCCCTCGTCCCTCTTGTTCCCCTTCTCCAGGGATTATTTTCATCTTTATTGTCCAGCTCGCTTGCCCCTTTGCATTTAATTGTGTTATAATTATAACATTAAATTGCAAGCTTCACCCTTGTTGGTGTTAGACTGGTGGCAGCTGATAAAACCCGTTTGTTCTACTGACGTCTAACCCCTGGTTAGCTCAGTTGGTAGAGCGGTCCACTTGTAATGGAGAGGTCCCGGGTTCGATACCCAGACCAGGCGGATTTTTTCGGTCGCTCACCAGTCACCTAGCTGTGTTTGGAGATTTATGTTTGTCCCTCGTCCCTCTTGTTCCCCTTCTCCAGGGATTATTTTCATCTTTATTGTCCAGCTCGCTTGCCCCTTTGCATTTAATTGTGTTATAATTATAACATTAAATTGCAAGCTTCACCCTTGTTGGTGTTAGACTGGTGGCAGCTGATAAAACCCGTTTGTTCTACTGACGTCTAACCCCTGGTTAGCTCAGTTGGTAGAGCGGTCCACTTGTAATGGAGAGGTCCCGGGTTCGATACCCAGACCAGGCGGATTTTTTCGGTCGCTCACCAGTCACCTAGCTGTGTTTGGAGATTTATGTTTGTCCCTCGTCCCTCTTGTTCCCCTTCTCCAGGGATTATTTTCATCTTTATTGTCCAGCTCGCTTGCCCCTTTGCATTTAATTGTGTTATAATTATAACATTAAATTGCAAGCTTCACCCTTGTTGGTGTTAGACTGGTGGCAGCTGATAAAACCCGTTTGTTCTACTGACGTCTAACCCCTGGTTAGCTCAGTTGGTAGAGCGGTCCACTTGTAATGGAGAGGTCCCGGGTTCGATACCCAGACCAGGCGGATTTTTTCGGTCGCTCACCAGTCACCTAGCTGTGTTTGGAGATTTATGTTTGTCCCTCGTCCCTCTTGTTCCCCTTCTCCAGGGATTATTTTCATCTTTATTGTCCAGCTCGCTTGCCCCTTTGCATTTAATTGTGTTATAATTATAACATTAAATTGCAAGCTTCACCCTTGTTGGTGTTAGACTGGTGGCAGCTGATAAAACCCGTTTGTTCTACTGACGTCTAACCCCTGGTTAGCTCAGTTGGTAGAGCGGTCCACTTGTAATGGAGAGGTCCCGGGTTCGATACCCAGACCAGGCGGATTTTTTCGGTCGCTCACCAGTCACCTAGCTGTGTTTGGAGATTTATGTTTGTCCCTCGTCCCTCTTGTTCCCCTTCTCCAGGGATTATTTTCATCTTTATTGTCCAGCTCGCTTGCCCCTTTGCATTTAATTGTGTTATAATTATAACATTAAATTGCAAGCTTCACCCTTGTTGGTGTTAGACTGGTGGCAGCTGATAAAACCCGTTTGTTCTACTGACGTCTAACCCCTGGTTAGCTCAGTTGGTAGAGCGGTCCACTTGTAATGGAGAGGTCCCGGGTTCGATACCCAGACCAGGCGGATTTTTTCGGTCGCTCACCAGTCACCTAGCTGTGTTTGGAGATTTATGTTTGTCCCTCGTCCCTCTTGTTCCCCTTCTCCAGGGATTATTTTCATCTTTATTGTCCAGCTCGCTTGCCCCTTTGCATTTAATTGTGTTATAATTATAACATTAAATTGCAAGCTTCACCCTTGTTGGTGTTAGACTGGTGGCAGCTGATAAAACCCGTTTGTTCTACTGACGTCTAACCCCTGGTTAGCTCAGTTGGTAGAGCGGTCCACTTGTAATGGAGAGGTCCCGGGTTCGATACCCAGACCAGGCGGATTTTTTCGGTCGCTCACCAGTCACCTAGCTGTGTTTGGAGATTTATGTTTGTCCCTCGTCCCTCTTGTTCCCCTTCTCCAGGGATTATTTTCATCTTTATTGTCCAGCTCGCTTGCCCCTTTGCATTTAATTGTGTTATAATTATAACATTAAATTGCAAGCTTCACCCTTGTTGGTGTTAGACTGGTGGCAGCTGATAAAACCCGTTTGTTCTACTGACGTCTAACCCCTGGTTAGCTCAGTTGGTAGAGCGGTCCACTTGTAATGGAGAGGTCCCGGGTTCGATACCCAGACCAGGCGGATTTTTTCGGTCGCTCACCAGTCACCTAGCTGTGTTTGGAGATTTATGTTTGTCCCTCGTCCCTCTTGTTCCCCTTCTCCAGGGATTATTTTCATCTTTATTGTCCAGCTCGCTTGCCCCTTTGCATTTAATTGTGTTATAATTATAACATTAAATTGCAAGCTTCACCCTTGTTGGTGTTAGACTGGTGGCAGCTGATAAAACCCGTTTGTTCTACTGACGTCTAACCCCTGGTTAGCTCAGTTGGTAGAGCGGTCCACTTGTAATGGAGAGGTCCCGGGTTCGATACCCAGACCAGGCGGATTTTTTCGGTCGCTCACCAGTCACCTAGCTGTGTTTGGAGATTTATGTTTGTCCCTTGTCCCTCTTGTTCCCCTACTCCAGGGATTATTTTCATCAACACATAATTCGCCGTGGTAGACGTTGTAGTGGGATAAAGCGATGACTATACTATTTTCATCCGAGCACTTCGACACCTTAGCGCCAAAAGTGTTTGTTGGCACGACTATGCGTGCCACGTACTGTTTCAAAATATGGTAAATTGTCCTACTACAAATATAACTTCACCAAATAAAAACACAGCGCGCAAAACAGGCTTTGCCACGCGTTACCCCAACAGCGCATGAAGCGAGCTGACGAGCCACGCGTTCTGTCCCAGTCTTTCCCACCAGTGACGTCACAAACGATAATGAAGATGATAAAAAAAAAAGATAAAATTCTTTATTTTCCACCGAAGATGGGGGAGGTGGAGGAAAAAAGCTGCTATAGAGCAGCTTGACGTGTCCTCAACCCCCTACAGACAATGGTTGAGCGAAAAGGTTTTTGTAGTTGTACATAAATCGAGTCACTGATGGAGAAATGCAGAAAGATGGATGTCATCTTACAAGCTAATCACACTAGGACATTGGTGACCTACAAATTCACAGGGCAATCAGACACACAAAAAAGTCATGATAACAAAAAAAAAGTGCCAAAAAACGAATAAAAAAAATGAATTGCAACGTCTACTTTCTAAAAAGTCCTATAATATCTAAAAAGAGCTGTAAAGAGCATAAATATAAAGAGTCACGAAAAAAAATATGCGCTATAAATGCGTAGCATGTAAAAAAGAAACAGTATAAAAAGAAGATGACTAGAGAAGCGCTCTCTCTAGTTCGCACACGCCGCCAATAGAGTGGGTTAGTAGCGATCTGTCGTAGATAAGTGGCAACGTCTCCGCTTCGAACGTAGTAAACCCAGGTTTGACTCCCGCGGGCGTCGGACGACCTTTTAAAGCGATAGCTTTAAAGGGATGCTAAGCCAAACCTTTCAGTGTCTACAATAAGTGGCGCACTACCTCTCCATGAGTCAACAGACGCCGGTCTGCGCGAACACACGCAAGGAAATTGACGTCATCATATCCCCATTCCCGCTTAATAAGCTTGAATGGGGGATATGATGACGTCAATTTCGCTGCGTGTGCTCGGCGTCGGTGTGACGGCAGAATCTTGATTGGTCGATGGGGTCATGACGTCACAGCCCCATGACCTCGCGCTGGAATTTCAAACCCACAACGCTCACGTGAAACGTGACGTCACGCGTGGAATAAAAGAAGTTACAACATGGCATGAATTGAAGTTCGCCGCGTGTTTCAAGTGATTTCACTTGATAAGGTGATTCATTTGCAATAAAATATATATAAAATCTTTTAGGCCGATGCGGGATTCGAGCTCATAACCGTTCGGTGGCGAGCCAGACGTGCTACCAACAAGGCCACGCAGACACGCTTTCACGGCTTGGGAACAAGCGGAGGTTTATATGTTTAGCTAACCCGTTCTTCACATATTTCAAGGATTTGACTACATCGACGCCCGACGCCCTACATCGCCAGCTACAACCTCAGCACCAAAAACTGCTACTGCAACTATAAGATCAGCTACTACAACATCAACAACGGACGTCATTTCCAGTGGTGGGAAGGATGGAGGAAGGCGGTTTGAATTGATGATCATTAAGCTTGACATGGTAAGTCGTTTTGCTTTCCACGCTACTGATGATGAAGCCACGCAGGCTGATATTTTGTTCGCAACATGACGCAAATTTAGGGGGCGAGAGTGTTATTGGCAAATAAAACGTCGCGCAATAGCAACTTGACTATAGATGGCCGTGCACGCAGCCACGACGTTCACAGATGAGGTGAAGTACTCACATTCCGAAGTTATATTTGTCGGTCGTGAATATTTGTGGTTTTGGAACTTGAATCCTGTAGAGCAAAATTGCCAACTTTATTACCAACAAGAGTAAAACACTGGAATTCTCATATATCAGGTCTAGAATAACACAATATTTAGTAAAAGAAAACAGCTACAACAGGGTCTTTAGGAAACCAGGCGAAAAACTTTAAAAAGGATGAAGATGAGATAACAACTTCGGCTGAATTCGTTCGAGCCCAAGTTTTTTCCTATATTTTTTTTTAGATTAATTGTTGGATGGAACAAATTAATGCATCATTAACAAACTCAGACTTTTTTTTTATTTCTTAAATGTTGAAATCACTTCTTTTCTCAAACTATATTCGGCTTTATGGCAAGGCTGTGAAAAACAACTGTCGCGAAAGCTTCACTACATCATTCAGCTCTCACGAGAGGGTATCGAAATTAAACACTAATGGCGAATTCCACTGGTCGTTTCGGAGCGCGCCGGGATCAGTAGACTAAATCCGAGATGGAGCACGCGATCCGGACGGAGTCGCTCCGCCTCCGGAATCAAGACAGGTTCGGGCGACCATCCTTCACAGCATTGTACACTAAGTAGAACACGGAATATAAATTGAGTTTTAATTCTGTTAGAACTTCACATCCGTCTTCTTTTAGCATATTATGTTGTGTGTTCATATTTTACAATGTTTTAAATTATCCTGCATTCCGTCGTGTTCTTTTCCTTTTTTTTAGTTGCGTTACGTTGCGCTCGTTTTAGCGCAGCCCTGTTTGGGCCATATAGTATTTTCAACTTAATGTTAAAATAAACCTCCATGGGAAGCATTCTTCGTAGTTCAAAATAAATATTATCCGCTTAGCTACAAGCATACAGTTAAAAGGTAGAACACTGTTTCGCTAGTGTACCTAAATAACGAATCCGCACATCTCTGATAGGTAGCTTTATAATCTTCAGATGTAGACACTCTATTGTCTACAGTCTAGCTGATTCCCACAACAGCACAAAAATACGACAAGATAGAGCGGATCATTTTTGTAGCATGTATGTTTAATATTTAAGTAGAATCCACCAGAAACACACGACTTAAAATAAAATATTCAGCCCTCTTGTACGTTGCATATACTTGTACAGAAGAAATTAGTTTCGCTTGAGTTGTTTAACTTACGCTACTTTTATTTGTTTCGACGCTCCACTATCAGCTTTTACACAATACATTGTGATCTGCACTGAACTTAGATTGAACTGTTTTACTTTACCTAATCGTCTTTCCTTTATTTGGCCACTAGTTAGGTACGTAGATTTTTAGAACAGCGAATATTCTTGTGAAGTTCAGCGTAACATTTACCTTGGTCGCTATGCTTTCTAACGAACGCCTTCCGCGACCAGCAGCAATAGGATTGAACATAGGGCATGGGACTTACTTCTCAGCTGAACTCTTGAGTGCCCTCTTTGTGAAGAACTTTCTTAACCACTGTTCCCCGTCAGTGATCAAGGAGTAAAGGGACAGGCCGAGCCACATTCCGATGTAACCTCCCATGTAACCGAATGCTTCAATAACCTGTGGAAAAGTCATATATTTCCAATTCCTTAATATTCGCAACACATACCATTTTTACTGTTAACGTTTAACATGTACGTTCGACATTCCAGAAACGAACTCAATGAAGGGCGTTCCTTTTGTCTTTTTTGCTCCCTACAGAACTCTAGTTTTTCCAACATTTCTCGTAATAAATAGTTCGGTTTGAGTGGCAAAAGACCTCTTGAGTCCAAGTGCATCCCTGGGCAAGACGATCGAAAAACCATAATGCGTCTTCTACAAAACAAATTTCGAGAAGGCGAGCTCACAAAGTTTAAAAGCAATTTTTTATATATTTATTACAGCCTGGAAGTAAAGCTAACCTGAATCATACAGCGCGATTCAAATGTATAGAACATAATTTAAGTTAACCGAATCACTAATCTTGCAAGGCACCTACGGTGATCTAAGTTAGAAGAAAAGTACGGGCGAGAAACATCCCGATTAACTGCTATATTAACAACTCAAAACAACTTTGCTGAAAAGGCATTCAGAGAACTGTGGCATAATAACACGAGCACGGACAAGAGGTCTGGTTTGCAGATCCAGTTAGGTACGAGCATCAGCGGGCTAAACAAGGTTGTGGAAGCTTACCAACCCGGGTGCTTATCACTCCCGACTACAACGATCACGTCAAGTGATTCCTCCAGCTGATCCTTTAAGATTTATTTAACCAATTAATGACTTGGAGGGGACACCCGAGAAGAAAATGGGCTAAGAGATCAACGCGACGTCGTTGATTTTCATAAAACGCCTTTCACGACGTTTCATACATAATTAAAAAAACTGAAAAGGGTTCTCGGACCTCTTCAGGTCAGCAAGCGCACAAGATTTCTGACCTGTGTATTCAAACCCCATTGCCACCAAAATTGTCACCACGACCGAAAATGAAGTGATTGACCTTTCAATTACAGATATGTATTGCATTAAGCGTTGCCTTTTTGTTGTCAGGAACTAAGTTTTTAGCTTTGTGAACAGTCGCTGGAATGTATGTCTCTCCAAGCCTACTATAGTGTTATTCAAGGACTCCTTACAAAATTAAGCACGCCCCAATAGAGGTCAACTCTGGAAGTACCTTACGGACAAAAGAGTAACATCTGTGAAACGACAAATTGCTTGGGTACTCCAATGTGACGGCTTTATCGTCAAGTTTTCACAGGACATCAGCCTAGAGTTTTGATATCGTTGTCTAAACTATTCGCGAATCTTTCTGACTCAGCCGTCACCCGGTAAAAGAATACTCCGGACAGGCAGTGCGACCATATTGTTGCCAAAGCCTAAAGCGTGCCGCAGACCTCACCGATGCAGTGTGTTCTAACCTGTAGAATTATAAAGAGGGTAACTCCAAAAACCACCTTAAGAGTACAATTCACGAATGACCTGTGTCGTTTTTGAGAATGTATACAAAATAAAAAGATATACGAATTGAGTAAACATGAGCTGCTCAACGGCAACATGTAAGGGTCATTTGCCGCTACCGCGTCGTCTGCTTCTTGCGCCATCCAACGAGGTACAAGACATTTCAAGTAGGTCATTTGACTATCGGCAACAATATGAGAGAGTACAGTTAATCTCTTTTTTTTTTTTTTCAGTGTCAAGGCTCTCGCAACTTTCGTTAAACCTCAACCTGTCAAACGGTATCTAGCTTGGGATCTAAACTTTCCGTTCTAGCCCTCGTCGGGACCTTAACATGTTTCAAAATTCGTAGTTACGTCAGAAAAGCGAGGAAGTCAATAGATATGTGGTGCTCGTAGCGAGAACCTCTTGGTATCCAAAGATCTTTTGGGAGTCAGATGAAAACTTCACGGACCCAGAAAACAAAATTTTGTTCTTTTTTTTTAGGAACGCAAAAATGTTTTTCTTTTTCCCTCCTACCGCGCAAATTCTCTTCGGAAGGCATGTATAATAAAGTCAGCACTCGACTCAAAATCGACACAAACACCTACAAGAGTTGATGAACGAATGAAAAAAGATAGAAATTTAGAGCACCTACTTTCCCGTAAAGATTTTTAGACATCCAACTGCTGCACTTTACGGCGGATGGTCGGCGGATTACGGGGTTGAAAATATGTCTAGACTTTAAATAAAATTAGTCTGTGCTGTGACACTGAGCGTAGCGTGAGGAACCTAACGTCGTGCTTAATTTTACAACACATGGAGTTTTTTTTTCGTTATATTTGTTTATGTCTTAACATAGTTTTAGTTCCATCATAAGCTGCTGTAGTAAATCACAAAAAACGCCAACTATATTTCCCGAATGCTCAATGGCATCCGCCAGAAAAACAATGTTCTACTTACCGTTAGTTTCGGCTGGTATTCAAAGATCTTTTGGGAATCAGATGAGAATTTCACGGACACAGAAAATGAAATTCTGTTTTTGTAAGAAAAAAAAAAACACACTTAGTTATGTCATTATCAGGCCTCGCGCGATACAAATGTATTTTTATAGGCGATGTCGTAACAGCGTTAGAGTTATCGTCGCGTGCCTCATTTCAGTGTTGATAGAAGGTGCCACTGCCTCAAATTCACGCGAACGTAATCACCCCTGGACACGCGACAAGATTCCCAATCGTCAGCGACAATTACTCACCTCTCTTTTTCTTTCTGGAAAGAAACAAAAAAAAATGTTAACGATTGCTGATTGCATCTTTTAGGGTTTGATTAATTAGTTTTCCATCGATCGTTCCCTTTGTTTAGAGCAACGCTCAAACATACTAAATTATCTTTGTGAGGGTTCATTTTGTTTGCAACACGAGCCAAAGGGTTAGAAGTGCAGTTGTTTTTAGATATCAAACATTATACTCGACAAATTACCAATTGTTTGCGTTGACATATAGACATCGAAAGAGCGGGGCTTTTAATGAGTAGAAAGTTTTTATGAATAAAAATTTCCCTAAAGAAAACAGTTAAAAATAAATACAAGCCCGATGAAGATTTCCAGCCCCCAAAATAGATGTACTTCGACTTCCACTAATGACTTTTTCGTTTTCTTCTCTTTTTTTTTTCCTTGTGCGGAAAAAGGGGGGGGGGGGGTGCGTTCTGTGATACGAGAAAGCGAACTGTAACGTCTGAAAGAATATTGAGGGCGCAAGCGAGCTGGTGAACATTAGGGAACATAATAAAATAAAACCGGAGATAGAAAAAGAATGACGTACATACCGTGTTGTGTATGCCCTTTTGTTTCCGTGTCTCCGGTTTGATTATGTTGCCAGTAACATCTAAGGGGCCTATTTGGTAATCTCGAATATTAATACAGCTGCTACATACCACAACCTGCCATCGTACCATAATAGTTAAAACTATAGGTTTCGCTTGCGGTGTAGTTAACACACGTTCATGAATATATGCGTTTTTGAGAATATATTTAACGAAATCAAAAGAAAACACTAATCGAGCATGTATAGATGTCATCACACGTCTAATTGGGTACGAGTGTAATATAATATAATATAATTACGGAACACAAAATTCATCTGTGAGAATGCTTTTACCGGGATAACAATAAGACTAGTGGCTGGACGCTCTTGGAAGCCAATGCTGAATATTGTTTGTCATAGCGCGTTCACTTAGAGCTAATCATTATAATAATCGTAATCTTAATGACATCTTAAAATATGTTAGGTTCCCGCTTTAAAGCACTGGAACGAAACTAAAGACTTGAATTCAATAGTATGTTGGTAACGGTAAGGGTACGAAGCAGTGATGAACAAACAGGAAAACGAACGACACAGGCACCCTTTTAAAGAAGCATTCGTGTCATACAATTTTTGGTTTGTTTACATTTTTTCGTGCTTTTTCTGGAAATAATACGTAGGAAACGAGGTCGCTCTTCATGTCTCCCAATGAATAAAAGTTCTAAGTTTAGCTAAATTAATTTAATAAGGTTCTTCGTTTTTGGGCTTTATTTCTCTCAACAACTTTTATTAACGTCCGCACAGCTTTATCTTACTCCGAGTGTTGTGTCCCCTTGTCCTCCGTGTGTATTCGTTTTGGGTTTCCCTTCCTTTTTTGTGTCTCCTAGTTTAGGAATTCAAAACTCCCAAAGTCTTCAAAGGTCTTCTCCATTTTTCAGCAATTTAACCTTGAAATTTTTTTTTGCATTTCCGTCTAAAATTGTAGTCTGGTACAACTAAAAAAATATATATATACGTATATTCTTTAATGAAGTAACATCCAAATGAATCAAACTAAATTCACCCATTCAGGAAATGTTTTCACGGACGTGAAAATAAAACTAAAAACTGAAAACGAAGAACAATACTTATTAATCCCCCTGACAACCGCGCTTTGAAAAAAACCACCGCAAAACAATGTTGTTGTTTTTTGTGTGAAAACTACCGAAAGGCAAAACCTTAAGTAGGGAACGTAATTTTGAATAACGTCCTAAAAGTATTTTCAAATACTGTAGCTGATAATATTTGCACCTGTCGAAGTAATTTTTGTTTTGCTGCGCTATTTCCGGATAAAAAAAAAAGAAAGAAAAGAATTCGGGAATAAAAACGAGCATACTTGCCCTAAAAAGTTACTGTTACCCTAAATTAGTTGCCTTAAAGGACTCAACAACATAAAAGACAATTCTAGATAAAATCACTGAGAGCAAAACCCCTTTCAAATCAGCGACTGTAGTATCAAAGTTCTTTAGCATTTGCCTCCTCGTGAAACATGTGAGTTCTTAAAAGTAAATTATATTTTTCCGGCTTAAGTTATCGAAGGTTATTATGTTCTTTTTTTCTTAAGAGCTATATCTTTGTATAATAATTGCAGATCTCAGATCACATTTTATTTTAATTTTGGTGCATTTTGAAAGACATATATCTTCTGATTCAAATGCTTCGATTGTCCTTGATAATTTATACCGTCGTCAATAGTCATCTGGACGCATTCTTTTGCCCAATTGCGCATGTTAAGTCTATTTTGATTCTTTGGACTGCTCAGCTCTCGCATATAACAGCCGGACTAGCTAACGCAACTAAAAATGGCAATAACGGAGCGTTAGCCTGCTAATGGGGACAATCTGTAGTGACGAATTCAGTTGAAATGATTCGTTGAGAATGCATTGGCATTTTCACGATTACTGGTTGACTCGTTCATAACTAGCACACCTAAAAAAATTTAGACAATGTGTTTCCAATAAGCGTGACGAAAAAAGCCTCTCAGTGCAAACAACACTGCTTAACAAATTTTCCTGTCCTCTTTTGTAATCGCTCCGTGTTCAAAAGAGTTGTTCCGTGAAGAGAATTTCACTTGGTCATTAAAACAACCTAAAAAAAACCTGCTTTCTTAGGTATTTATTCGTTGATAGCAAATCGCAGGAGTCTTGAGATGCAAAATTCAAGCTAGATAGAAGAAGCAGCTCACTATGTGAGCTAGCTTGTAATTGGGGTTCATATTTCACGTTTTCTAATGCTGGTCAAAAATGCTCTAGCATTTTTGTCGCGCTTACGGTATTTCTTTTCAAAACAATGGGCGTATCTCTGTTACATACCCCAAACAAAAGTTACGGCTGGGAATTATTGAGAAAAATACTTGAATGACACACTGAAAATTAGAAATAGGTCTAAGTTCACACATGTAAACATATTTGCGTATCAGCAATAGTATGCGCCATTTACACTGCTATGCATTCTCGCCACAATTAAGTTTACTTTATACAAATTATTATGTAGAGACAGCAATTACCCATAGAAGGTCGATATTTATTTTTTGCAAGATTGGAATAGAAAGCTGGAAAAACCGTTAATTTTGGTTGTTTTAACAGAAGACTCAAGTCTTTTGCTGCTACTCGTAAAAAAGAGTTTTTTTTTTTTTTTGCTATTAGGTTAAGTTGACGAGATATTGCCACAGCAACAGTTATGTTAAATATCTTTTTTTTAAAGTACTCTCCCATCAAATGAAGAGGAATTAGGAAATTTAATACAGAGACTCGAAAACCAAAGGGAAGACAACGAAGTACCCGAACAAGACTGACCCCTTCAGGAACCGCACTTCTCTGTAAATATTGTACTATAAATTACTATAAACATTTTTTTTCTTCTTACGATATTTTTCATAATTTTGGTGCCGAAACCTGGGATGGACTCAATGAACGAGGTTTTAATTAACGCGTTGATCTGCCAAAGTTCACTAAGCGCCTTATCAAAAACTTACGAACCTCCCACAAGCAAGAGCAATCTTTAACGACTCACCTCCATTAATGAACGTAAAGCAACTACTAGCGAAATTAACGCAACACTTATCTAAGCATTAAGTCAATCTTTAAGAGAAGTAAAAATCGAAATTTCCCGGATAAGGAAAGAGCTAAAGAGGTCTACGCACAGAAACGGAGCAACGCATTTTTATTTGCATCTTGAGTATTCAATGCACTTTAAATTTTGCTTTACATATTGGCAACGTCCCAGCTCCACTCATTAAAATGTACTATAAGTGCGTTGATGGTTTAACGTCTTAATCATTATTTTTTTCTTTTGCAATTGTTTTGTTTTCCACAGTTTAAAAGAAAAGTTGCTGTTTTAAAATTGACTTGCCGCAGTTATATATAAAAAGTACACAAGCTGCGAATAAATACAACTTAATTCCTGCTGACGTTTTCTTTGTAAATTCAATAAGCAATAGCTTTCTTAAATATGTATTTATATTCAGTGTGGGATAGACAAAGCAATTTAGATATGTAAGGACATTCGTTTCTCAGTTAAGAGCCATTTCCAATAAGAAATTAGCGTGTCATAAATCAGGGGTCGGCAACCCGCGGCCCTCGAGGCAATATTATACGGCCCCCGGCACGCCTACCAGGAAATACCCCCCCCCCCCCACACACACACACACTCCAGAATTAATGGCACAAAAAGTACAGTTGGTGGCAAATATAGTGTAATGGAACGTATTAACTTCCAAATGGCACGCCTGGATCTTGGTTCATTATTCACGTTCATCTATCAGAAATTGTCGCGTATTAAAGTGATGCATCGGGAATCAATAATTAAAAATGTCGTCCGGAATCATGACTTGTACCATGTATCGTTCATTTCCATTACTACACAAAAATAACAGAAGCTTCGCTTTTTTCATGTTTTAACTTCGTAAGAACGTTTTTGTGGAGGCTTCGTGGTCCTGATTAGGCGTGCGACTTGGCATTTTTGTTGGTTGATATCTCACACCACCCTAATGACTGGAACGTAAAATTACAAAAAAACAAAAAAAGATAGACCCATGGTGGTATGCTCTTAGACGCAAACGTTTTTGAGCGAAATCTGGGGGTCTTCCACAACACCAGGAACTTCTACCAACAAAGAATCTATATGATTTTATATAGTGGAAACTCTTTTTTAGGAGGAACGGGCACACTGTTCTATGAAGAAAGTATCCTAGTGATGGTATGCAATATGTACTGCAAAGTCGGCGTCGGAATCACTGATTTCGCGAAAGACTCAAACGACCTTCAAATTTTCTAAATTTTGCTCAAGAAAGACCTCGGTCAAGTTCAGGAGGATTACGAGACGAAATTGGCTGATCAGCTGATCCCCAAAATGATAATCGGTTGTAGGATGTATTTCCAGCGAACGACTTTGTTAAGTTTTATTCTGGTATTCCTGAGTCCAATCTTTCCAATCTACGAAAGCCCGCAACACCTTTGATTGCAGTGTTCTTTGTATGTACATGGGCGAAGATATTTTTTAGATGGAGACCGTAAAGCCAATCATGTGTTTGCGAATGACCAATGACCACCTCCAAATAGTTTTAGAGCTCTCAGTTAGTAGTTTTAACATGAATGTTTGTCTTGGCAAACAATATTGAATACCAAAACTCATACTGAGATGGGGCTCAGCAATCTTAAGTGATATGGGGCTAAATCAAGAAAAAAAATGTGTACATCACAGTAAACTTTGGGGAGTTTTTGTCATTTTCACGCCCCCCCCCCCCCCCCCCTCCCCCGCCTCATCTCCGGCTTTTGATCCGGCTCGCTTCAAACCCAATTTGAGGCGATTCGGACCGCTGAAGCAAAAGGTTACCGACCCCTGCCATAAATGATTCACTCACTGTGGTACACTTCATAAAAAAAAATATTTTAATAAGCTGAAATAAAAACATTTTTATTTTCAGCGCCCCTTGTAGAACGTAAAAGCAATGGGTAAACGGATAAGGGCGTTAACTCGGGCAAATTGGTGATGTATAACTGAATAGAAACAGTTAAAAAAAATGACTAAGCACAAGTAGGAGGAGTAGACACGACAGGCGCTGACTTACAACTGAATTTTAATATGAAGAAACATCAAACCGTAGATCCACCGAAAAGACCAAACACTGCCTATTTGCCTGTCTTATCAAGGTGTCTATACAAACTCTCTTCAAAACGACACATGCACGCAATCTCGCTGCTAAATAAATCGATAGACAGAGAGCTGATACACATGCTTTCCTTGTATCGTGACATGCTGAAGGCCTTCACTATCCCGTTTTTTTTTTTTGTTCTTTTTTTGTGTGTGCCGCGTCACTATTGCAGTGTCAATAAAGCGTGGCACAGACCCGCACTTCTCACAGTGTACCGCCAAATGACCGGAAGGAGAACTCCTCACAGCCAGATTGTGCTCCATCAACCAAACACTAATGCATCTGCCTGAATACCCTATGCTAACCCACTCAATAGTGGTAATGTATTGCCACTTTTGAGTAGTTGGCCATCTCGTGTCTGCGGGCCTCTCTGCCAACATCATATCTACACAAAGTGACGGAGAGTTTTAGGTCACAGCTACACTGACTGGAACAGGGGGGATATCCGCTTGCTCTTCTTGTGAAAGTAGATGAGACCTTCTTGAAAAGACTCCGGAAGAGTGATGAGGCACCGAAGAGAATAACACCTAGCGTTAGACAGGTAGTACTCCACTACATAAACAACGTAAGCCATTGAACAAAAAAAACGTGGCAAGCAAACACCATGAGTCGGTGTTGATGTCCGCTCCTGGGAAACTGGAAACGTTGTCTGGCAGGATCGAACGGGGGACAAGCAGTGGCTGGGGTGTACAAAGAAACATTAAAAAACAGTGTGCGAACTGTGAATTCGGAGTGGTATATAAGATCCCGTTGCCGTGCGGAAAAATGTACATAGGGCAGTCAGACAGATGCATTATTGATAGGTTGAGGCAGCATGATCTGGCATTGAGGTCTTCAACTTCTGGCAACGTAGCGGTACAATGTGACAGGTGCTGGTGTGTGCCACGCTTTATTGACACTGTCACTGTGACGCTGCACAGAAATCAAAGAACCAGGAAGATAGCGGATGCGTTCAGCATGTCATGATGCGAGGATGGCATGTGTTTCAGATCTTTGTATATCGCTTTGTTTAGCAGCGATATTGCGTACATGTGTCGTTTTGAATCGATTTGTAGATAACTTGATAAGATAGGCAGATAGGCAGTGTTTCATATTTTTTGGTGGTTCGACGGTTTATTTTTTCTTCATATTAAAATTCAGTTTAAGTCAGAGCTTGTCGAGTTTACTCCTTCCCCCAGTTCTCCGTCCATTTTTGACGCTGCTTTTCGTCAGTAATGAGTAAGCGCTATGCTCATATAAAACATAAAGAACGTACAATTCCTGTTTTCTACTTATACCGGAATCTATTTGCAGCTTCAAATAAGCCTCACTGCGAACACGCGAAGAGGGTAAAAAGATAAGTCCTTTATATCTGCAGCGAAGCAGTGTGCAAACTTGGGGCAAAAACTAAGGGTAAAACATAATTTAGGGATCAGAAACACTTCGTTCCAATTGTGAATGCCTTACCCTGTCTTCTCCAAGGCTGGTCAAGCGAACGTCGTAGGATGTCTCTCTGAAAACACCATCCTATGTTAAAAGCTAAGACCTCGCATATGGTGTAGCAATACAAACAAAATTGTTCAGAATTTGTTTTCTATTTTGAACGACACCACGTGTGTTAAAAGTAACTCGAATTCTTTAACACTTTATTTTAGACCTATTACCATATCCCTCGATACGAAGTTTGACATCGTTCAGGATTAATTCGCATAGCTAACATTATAAACCTATCTTGCCGTTTCCGCAGTTAAAAGTTCTTCCGAGTTGTCAACCATAACACGATCACGTACTCGCGCGCGCTTTATCTCTTATCGTGTGGTTTTGACACTTGTTTCAATAAGAAAAAACAAAACAAGTGTCAAAACCACGTGATAACTGGTAAGCACGTAGCGCTCCTCGCATGCGGTTCTCGATAAAGATTGTAGTTGCATAAGCTGCCGCGGCAATGGCATGCAGTGTACGACGTCTTTCGTATATAAAAAGGTTTTGGAACAGCGCATTTACTTTTCTTTCGTCAATCATTTGGTATAGACCCTTTTGTTGTTTACAAACATGAACTGCACTTGCATCCCAAGCGACTTCCGGTAGCACCGTCTTTGTAAGCCTGTTGAGCTTGCTTATATCATCTGTGCTAAAAAGCATGAATGCTGCAAGGAAAACAAAGTTGTAGATTTAAAGAGGGCCTTCGGCTGTACAATATTATATCTTGGAGGAGGCAAGTTGGTTTATAAGAATGCTCGAAAATGTTTAACAGATCTCGCCTTCTTCGTTCTTTTGGCGTTCACCTGGAGAATCGGTGGTTAAACTTTTCATCTCCATTTCAAGCAGCGTTGTTAAGGTGGCCTATGTTCATTCTCTTTACTAACCGGAAGTTCTCTGGGACGTCAAAAACTGGCGCACCACCTGGTCGCGTTTGCAATAAAAAGGGTCTATTGTGCAGTGGGCAATCGTTGCAGGTGATACCACAGCTTCGCTGTCCATTTACCTCCACAACGTAGACTGGTCTTATTATTTTTTCTTATGCTTTTTAGCGCTTTCACAACGGTATCCAACGAGAGAAACATTTATTATTGTGTTCTAGGCTGTTGCGCACGCAACACGTAAAGAGGCTGTGGCCCGCAATCCGGCCTCGTCGGCTGAGGGTTTCGAAAAAACGTTGCGACTCGCGAAGCGATACGAAACGCAAATGAGTGCTGCGTCATTTGGTGCATGAAATGCAGGGTACTTTACGGCTTGAACAACATAATTAGTCACTGCTATTCATCGCAGTCGATATCAGCTAAAAAAATATGAGTAGCATATCGTTCAAAATGTTTGAGAACTTTTCTGTGCGTGGGCTTTGGAATTGACGAAATGGCTCTAGCGAGCGTGTTCAATCGTTGCTGGCGAATTGCGACATTAACAAATCAAACTGATTGTGAACCGCATGGCCTGTTAATATCTTTCTTGTTGCAAACTGAAGAACTGCTGGCGACGTCTTGCGACTAGGCCAAGTCGTTCAGGAAGATATACATGCAAAAACCTCGCGCAGAAGCGCAAAGTCATCGCCAATCGTGCAGAGGCGCCACACTCCGCGCTGTGGGCACCGCCATGATGCGACTCGTAAACCTCGTAGTTTCGTGTAGTCTCGCGAGCCGCAAGAAACGCACGCGAGGCACGCAAAATCAGTTTGTGCGCAACGCGGAAACTTTTCATAAAAGCGGGTGCACGTAGCACGCAAAGCTGGCTCTCGAAATATGCTGCGTACAAAGTGTGGGCCCATAATTATTTTGCGTACGCAGGGTTTTGATTTTAAGTTTTCATAAACCTTTACAAGTGTTCGATGCGTGCGTAAAAGGGAAGGAGGAGTATCGGGAATAGTTATCAGAATACGAAGAACCATAAGACATCGCCCTATTATCCCAGCCTGGAGAGTTCTTTCGAACGTCTGTGTTGTTCACAGGCATCGCAACTTTAAAAACCAAGTTTTTAATCTCTGACCGAGAATCTGCTGTGCTGAGCTGAACGTTTTTATAATTTAGGGCAAGGGCGTCTAAACACAGACTAAGGGTTTTCTCTGCACTATTATAATATTTTGCATAAGAACCACCTTGAAAGCAAACATAGCCTTTTGTGTTTTCAACATCTCACATTACTCAATTAGAAACATTAGTACGCACATGAAAAAAAATATAAGCAGACGTATAGAAGTGCCATATAAAACTAATGCTTTCAGCATTTCCCGATGTTGCCAGCTTCCCCAACCTAGCAGCAGGCATAAATGATTCAAACGATGACACTTACTCGCATGGGGCACCGCATTTTCTCATGCATTTCGTGAGCGTCTTGTTTGTAATTTGCTTGTCACAGATGACTGAAACAAATGTGATCCAAAATTATAAAATATGCTGCATGAAACATAGCCAATACAAGTTTATGACACAACTAAATAAAGAAACTAAAAGTCCAGACAAACACCTACTACCAAAAGCAAAACAAAACAACAGGGACACATATCTGCGATGCGCTATCCTTCATCTTAAATTTACTTACAAACGTTTAGTGAAACCATAACACCAATTCGTCTGTAATCTACCGCGCATATGCATATTCATTTAAACTGTGATTGTAATTAAGTAAAACGTCATGGAAAACATTTAAAACACACGCTCGCACGAAAAACGTACAACAAATGACGCTGCGAATTTAGTCTCTGACAAATCAATTCTCCATCCTTCCATTCGGCTTCCATCCGTTATACCTTTATTATTCTAATGAACTTGAAGCCAGTCTGTAACAAAGATATATCAGAAAGGTATATCTGATATAGCAAGACAGCAACCGATTAATCGCATTCGAAGCATTAAAAACAGTGCACGTCATAAAAAAAGCGCTTACACTGCAAACGCATTACCTGGATGAAAAATAAATTATTTGTACGGCTACAGTCCCTTTTTAGCAGTGGCACAATGTAGTAACTATTTGATCGCTCTAGTTGTCGGCTTCTCCCGAAACATCAAGTTAAGTTTTCTTTTTTTTTTATTATTATTTTAAACATCACCTGACGCGACACTTTCAAATTAATCGTAATAAATTCAATAAAATATGTCTTCTAAATAAATTATGCTTGAAAGTTTCGTGTCTTTTACCTTCTAGACAATTTGGACTTCGTCACTTACCGGCACCTCGTACGTTCTTATTTAGCCACACCAAACACAGTGTACAGCTTTTATATTAATCCTCTAAAAAATTATTTCTTATTCCGCGGCTCGTAACAACACAAGTCTTGACATGAGACACGGTCGTGATTACACAATTTGCAGAGAGGAAAATATAATGGTCACGATGAGTCAATCAAAATTTCGAGGGCACCTTTAAAATACACATAACTCGTGTATTACTTGTTCATTTCTTCTAGTCATGTCTAAGGCTGGCACATCCAATACATGACGAAGTCACGCATGGACCTACCTGTTGTTTGAAACGTGCAGGTTGGAAACGTGAATTGCGAACCGTACTCGTGCTGGGGTCGAACGCACCCGCACGTTTTTCCCTCTTGCTTGATCAGGCACTCTTGGACGCAGAGCTTTAAGCGAGAGAAGGGAGCCGACGGGAGCCAAAGCTGACATTCGTGCCGTAATATATTGAAACATTTCACAAGTCCGTACGATACCATAACTCAGAAAATTCATAATTAAGGGAACACATACTCTAGAGATAAACAACCCAAAACTGAAAGAAAACATCGATACTATACTCATGTCGTAAATAAATCCGCACAGCCATAGTCACTGAAAGCATAAAACAACGCAAGGCGAGGCTCATTATGTCCCCGCTTTTTGCTTCGTGATTGGCTCTTGAGAGTCATCATCAGCTACTGCCTCAGTCTTTAGGGCCAAGGAACGATAAGGAGATGCTAAAATTTCGCACGCCAAGCGTTTTGTCAACTGTTAGCGACCGTGAACGTTTTTATGTTTTTCGAACTGTGTCTGTGTGTTTTTTTTTTTTTTCTGAATAAATTAGAAAACCGGGTTGGGAAAAAATGTTTTAAAAAGTATATTGAAATACAAACAAACAATAGATAGGTGGCAAAAACAGCTGAGGTGCTGATACTAAAGTACGGGGCGTTTCAGAGAAAAGATGACCATGTTTTTCGGGCCGGAAAATAAACTATGCACAGTCTAAAAAAAGCCCGTGCTTTTTTAGACCCGCACAACACTCGGACAGCCAATCAGCATAACGTACGGAGGCAGCTTAGCGAATGATGATGCCGAAACATATGTGTAGACCAGAAAACGTAGTCTGAGTTGTGACATTAAGCAATGCAAGCGTGACGTTTTGCATTGCTTAATGTCACAACTCAGACTGCGTTTCCTGGTCTAAACATAAATTTCGGCATCGTCATTTGCTGAGCTGCCTCCGTAAGTTGCACTGATTGGCTCTCCGAGTGTAGTAGACGTACGGGCTTTTTTTAGAGTGCATTGCAGATAGCTTAAAGTCTGTGAGAATGTGACGGCAGCGGTTGGGATTGAGGGCGATAGTTGGAGAACATGACGCTACTTGGATCAAAAGATAATTGAGACACGAAATTTTTCTTAAGCTGACGTTAACCAACGCTAGGTATTGTGAAAAACAATAACTGAGCGTGTGGACGCGTGTGGGATTTATATCAGTGAAAAACACTTGTCAGCAAGAAAGAGAATATTACTTTCTTTCTTGCTGACGAGCGGTTTTTTTTCACTAAAATACCCCCCCCCCCCCCCCCCCCAGAAAAAAAAAGAAAAAAAAATTACAGGTTTGTTTTTTGACCGCAAACAAACTATGCATTGCCAAATGCTCATTCTCCGCCCAAATGTAGCGCGAGGGGTCCGAATCAGATGCCAAAGTTTCAGCACTATAGTGCTGAAACTTTGGCATCGTGCCGTAATATATTGAAACATTTCACAAGCTTTACAAAATCACTTATAACTTCTGAATAAGATAACGGTTATAACCGTTATCTTATTCAGAAGTTATAAGTGATTTTGTAAAGTTTTCAATGGGAAATTGGCGGCCCCGAGCGCTCGAACGCATGGCGCTTTTATGGCGCCAGTTGTCGAAAACGGAAGAAAATGGGCCCCATTTTTCCATTGAACCTTTTACGAAATCCCTCATAACTTTTGAATAAAGTAATGGTTAGAGCTGTAACTTTAGCATCTGGTTCTGGCGTCTAGCTAAACATTTGGGCGAGCGTTCGGCGATGCATTGTTTATGTTTGGTTGTTACAAATAAACTTTAGAGGGCACCTGTAGTACCTCTAGATGCTACAGGCGCCCACAATGTCATTTGTTGTTTGGACTATATTAGGCTTAATGGCGCCTTCACACTGGAAGCGGATCCGCGTTCGCGAAGCGGATCCGCGCGTTCTCAACCGCAAAGCGGCTAAGATCGAGCGGTTGGAGCGCGTTTTTGCCGACCGCTTCGGGACCGATTTCTCCCAACTGCTTTCACGAACCGCAAAGCGGCAACCAATCACAACGCGACGCTGACGTGACGTCAGTGACTTTCAAAACAAGATGGCACCTGTCGCTGGTGAGGCGTCCAAGGCGCTCTAGTCCTAGCGCTGTAGTCTTAGCTTTCGACAAATCTTCGGAGAAACTTGATGTTCACGTCCGTCACTTGAATCCACCGCGAAAAGAATTGACTCGTAATTTTAACGGGCTTCGCAACGGTGATTTGGTTCGGGTAAGAGTTTATTATTCCGGGTGCCACAGCCCAAGCTCGCTGCCTTGTTAATCTCTGCCTGTAGAACGTCGGAACCCGCCCCTGATCGACCGAAATGTCAGCTTTTCTACCCACTAGGATAGTCGCGTGAACTATTGAAAGCTTTCGACACCGTGCATGACTACCACGCAAGCCGATAGAGACGTCGTGAGCTTGATTGCGTAGCCAACGCACTACCTCGAAGGGTGCAGGGTGCCTGCGCTAGCTCGACCTGTAACGTTTACTACTAATAAAATTAATAAAGGGAACCTACTCAAGGAATAAAGTGTACGTACCAGACAATGCAGAGGTAATCCAGACGGCGTTTATTTGAGCTTAATGTCAAACAAACAGAAACAATACACTCGATCGACGAGCGAGTGACGAAAGGAGAGTCCGCCACCAACGAAGTCATGACCGGCTAGCACCGAACACGTACATTCCCTCGCACCACGGTCCACCCTGCTGCTCACTCACAACTTTGAAAATGATAAGAGCGAAAAACAACGAGGTGCGGGAAACTGGCCCTCTATCTCGAAAACAAGGTCAGCTATTCATGCGGAAAGGGTTCACTTCGAAGCTAAGGCCGGGAGCATCCTGTTCTGAGTCAGCAAGGCGCGCCTAGCTGGGCTTTGCTTGTGGGCGAAGCCGAGGGAATCACATTCACAGGAGAGTTTGGCGGTCCAGGCTTTTTTTTTCACTGCCTGAACTTGTGATGCGTTCGAACATCCCGGAGAAAATATTCCGAGTGCCAAAATAGCAAGACTTTGGCTTTGGATCTTGAATTAAAGTGGATTTTGGATTGTAAAACAGGGTTGCCAAACGCAAGTCTCAAAAGATCACGCGTGATCGCCGAGAAACCGCCAACCGCCTCTCGGCGTGACTGAACGGGGTCGCTCGCGAACCGCATTCGCGACCGCTTCGCGTACGCGGATCCGCTTCCAGTGTGAATGCGCCATAAGTGGTCGTCGGCTCATAAAGAAATTTCGTTTTTCTCAATTATCTTTTGATCCAGGTAACGAAATGTTCTCAAACTTTCGCGTTTTATTCCATCCACTACCGTCACATTCTCATAAAGTTCGAGCTTTTAGTGATGCATAATTTAATTATCCGGTTTAAAAAAAACACGGTTCGCGTTTTTTTAGATTGCCTTGTATAACAAGATATCGCGTACGTATCAAAAACAAATTTAAAAATTGGAAATATTTTTTTTTTATATAAATACAATTTGGGGGCATTCTGTTGTTCCCTTCGTTCCTGGTCGGTCAAGTAGCCCGAGTACCTAACCAGCCTTCATATATTCTACCACGAGGTGACCAGGGACGTGAGGCCATGTTCACCTCGCACACGCCGCATTAATATGGCACCATGCGGGGCGCTAACACTGGGCGGCTGACTGCCAACCCACCAGGTCGAGTTGTTAGTGTTCGTTCATGTGCAATGAAATGTAGTTTGAGATTCTTGAAACCTAAGGCTTAGTGAAAACACAGGAATTAATTTTGTTGGGGATAGATATACTGTCACTAAAACGCACATTTCTTCAAAATATTCAAGATTTTCCCATTTTCCGAACACTTACTGTTGGAGGGCAACGATTCCTAATAAATTTTAACGAGAAACATCATCCCTTGAGAGTTTCGCGACACCAAACATGCACCCAAGAATGTAGAGTGTTTCAATATAGTAATGCAAATGCTTTTGAAACCATGTATCCCTATTAAATACAAAATGTATTTCTGAAATACTCACAACCGTAAAACAAAGCAACATTTTTTTAATAGCTTACTTATCACTGAACGGTTTTCCATCTACGCTAGAAAAATGTTGAGATGAAAACAGAACTTACTATTTTTAACGAAAATTCATATCCAAAATGTTTCCTTAGCAGGACGACATACAAATTAACTATAAAAAATAAAAATAAAAATCTGCAAATTTGTTTTAGAGATACTTACGTCTTGAGTCAGATATCCCATGAACTCTTTTTTTATTCCCCGCGCCTTGTAGTCTGTGCATTTGGAAGCAAATGGCGGAGGTAACCGGCGCACCGTTTGCTAAAAAGAAAACAGAACCACAAAGTAAACGGAACGTATGTGACTTGCCACTAGTGTCACGGTTTTCCAATGTTTCTTACTAAAATCTTTGCTAAGAAATTTTTCGTTTATCAATATCAACTCTGAAAAAAAGTTATTTTATTCAATCAAGCACATTAGAAACTACAATAAGATGCAACCTACGGTGGATCAACTTAAAGGCAAATCAAATAACATAACAATATGAACATTTACTAAGACTCTTTCGACTTTTGAGATTTGTATGATGAGTATGGGGAGATCAGTATTAGTATGATCAAAACTTGAAATATAAAGCTCAGTGCCAACTTTTTTACCTTTTCGACTTGTCACTTACGATACTAACTATACGTATACGTAATTCTTCGGGCCCCGGCATAACGCTCACGCCGTAAAAGTATGCCTCTTACAATGTAGCTGAAAGATATCTTAGAATGACGACTCAGGTTTCGCAGCTAAGGTGTGTTGATTGTTGAAAACGTTTCGCCCAAACTTTTTGGCATATGATTGGTTTTCCCTTCTTATACGGCTTTCTTTTATTTTTGTTCCAGAACAGATTTTGCACCCGTGCCTTTTAAGTGGAAGATTTTGTTATAGTTCATCCTTCAACGATCGAGAATGCAAATAATGCGCCGTTCACACACTTGCGATCGAGTAGGACCGAGAGAGATAAGGCCGGTTTTTAAGCCTCTTGCGATGGCGTAGGACCCACACCCCAGCAGCGCATCCAATCCTACGCCGTCGCAAGAGGCTCTTCCTTGTACACGTTATATTGTCACAAATGGCAAATGATGAGGCGAAGAATAACTGAATAAACTAATGTTTAAAGGGGGGCGAACTTGTGCCCAAACCAAAATAAATGTAAAGTAGCGTCGCAGGCGTCGATGTCGGGGAAACAGCAATACCGAGTGCTGAAGCGAGGCGAGACTGACTTCGCTCGCAATGCGGACTCCCCCTTATGTACCCTCGTGGGTTTCTGGAACATTCGGCGCAGAACTTTCGGCGCATAGAACAATCGGAACTCGATCGGATGAGAATGTTCTCGAACTTACGAGAACGCCAAGTTGAAAGATAAATAAAACTACATTCCACGGACCGAAATCGAACCTAGACCTTCCGCGCGACAGTCAAGGGCGGTAACCATTCGGCCACGTACGCGCTCGCTCAGCGACGCGCGTGGCAATATTACGTGTCGATGTTCCGACTATACGAATTTGTACTACGAATATATGCCTGCTAAATGTTTCTCCGTCTTCTTTTTTGTCTAAAATATATTTTACATTGTATTTATTTACTTCTATTATACTGTATAAAATTCAAATTGCTCCACCGACAAAACTAAAACGGGGCCTTTTTAACTCGAGCGATCAACTAACCTGCGCTACCGAGACGGTGTAGGTTAGTCCAGGTTTCATCGTGATTGAAGACAGTCTGTCGGGAGGACATGTTTCGGTCCGGTGGATGACCAACGGAAGCTTTTCCGAGTTTTGGAGCTGCAACACCCTCTCTGGGTTCCAGGCAGCTCGCAGAGAAAGCTCTGGGAACAAAAACCACATCGCACACAATGCCAGATTATATTACCATAAATTTCAACTTCTTATATATCTTCAAGCTTTTCGACAAACTTGGTTTCTGTGGTTCCATTCAACATACGGATGTACGCGATTCAACAAAGGTATGATTTTAAAGCCGCTGATTAACCCTCGTTAATAGGCCGTTACGTTGTGATGTAGGAAAGGTGTACCTTACATTCCCGACATAGCGTCTCTCACCAGTGATCCGTATTATATACCTAGCAGAACAACAGTCGGTGTGAAACGGAACTGGCTTCCAGAAAAATCGCGCCACGCCCCAGCCAACTGGAGTCAACGCCATTACTTGGGTCTTTCTGAACACCAGGTAGCCTCAGCAAATAAATACACCTACCGTATGCTCTTACGCTTTACATAAACTGTTCTGTCTTGAGTTCTTTAAAACATAAATATATTCCACATATTTCTGAGCCAATTAATTATTTAGCGTGTTGAACATTTAGTTTTTAATTATACTTTTCTTATTCTGTCATACACCAAAAAACCCTCAACCATTTTAGTATTTTTTTTTCTGGTTGAAGGTGATTCTTTTGTCCCATTTCACGCACCCATTTCTTCATTTTTCTTGTCTTCCCCTTCCCTTTAGAATAATGCGATGGGCTTACCCCAGGTCCAAGGCATGGTACATTTCTGAAAACGATGATTTTTATCGGACCATTGGTTGGCGTCCACAGTGTAGCACATGGACGACGGCGGACGAAAATATGTCGTCCGCATCCTGCGCAAATAAGGCCATGTTGTAGCAAACCACCTCCGGAGCAAACGAGGTAAAAGTACAAAGAAAGCACGCAGAGAATGAATCAGGAATAAAGACCCTGCACGTTTCGGTAAGACACTCAGCCTCTTTAGGGTACTGAGGACATTACGTCATCCAGAAAAACATCGAGCGCCCGTGTGAAGCTTTCAGGTGGTTCATTTTAAATATTAAAATACGTGTAATAATACAAATTGTATTAGCAGTTAATCTCTATAATTGTACTTCTTTAAATGAAAGTGGTGAGCGCATTATTGATGCGTCTTAATGAGCACATTATTGAAAATTACTGAATGACTGTTACAATCAGTCCGAAATTTAACACTTTAATTAATGGAATTAAAGTACAGTAACAATTGCTGTTTAAAATGTAATCGTTAAAATCTATACAGTTTACAAAATTTGGTGAAAGACAACCGGGTCTAAAGAAACTAGCAGATCAATTTTCACCTTTATGTTGTTAGATCTCAATATTTGGTAGAGAAAATGCAGAAAGACCGTCGTAAGTCCTGTCTACGGTGATTCGTCGGAGGGACGCAGTGGCGATCGCTACCCCAGATATTTCAAAAACTTAGTGGAAACAATACGGAAAGGAAACAAAAAAAGCACCCTCCCCCATCTGCCGAATAGTTCCAGCGCTTCTGGTGTCACGTACTCGACGCACACTTCGACATGATATCCTATTTGCACAGTGTCTCAGCTAACAACCACTGCATAATTACAGCTTACGAAATTCACAGTCACTGCATTCATCTTCCAAGCTATGACGGATAAGCAGGTAGTAAAAACGAAATCTATCTAACAAACTTTCTCGTTCTTGTTTTTAATCTGCACTCATTATGAACTAACACGTAACTATCTTCGAACGCGCTCAGTCATGTGCCTTAAAAATGGCAATAACTGGGGTCCACAAAAACCGCATGCCTAATCTTCATCCTAACAATTGTTTTTGAAACTTGCCATTTCAGTGATGTTCGACGATTTTGTCCATTATAGGGGGGAAAAACTGAACAATTATTGTTGTTGTCTTACTTTTTCCCCTGAAGAACTAAATTTTAAGAAAAAATCATGTATCAATTAGAAAGTCTAGTCACTATATTTATCACTAACATAATAAACAAATAGACCGCATGTTTGGTCGAACTGCCAAAAGCGCTTAAATGCGGTAGCTTTATAGCGTGAGTGGGGACCTTAGTTCGAGTGGTGCGGATGACCTTTAGTCTTTCAGTGCCTGTTGTGGGCGGTGCTCTTAGTTCAGGTGGTCCCCAGGGTGGAGTTCTGTATGGAAACAGATTACGTCAAATCACTACATCTTTGTGCCGATGCGCGCGATTCCCTTCAGCACCACCTGGTTACGAAGACATTGCGCCGAATTTTCTGGTTCACCAAGACAGGGGAGGCGCGCTTGCTTGCCCTTTCCACTCCCCCTCCTTCCGCGAGCTTTCTAACCACCTGTTTCTGCTCCTTTTATTTATTGTACTTTCCTCCCCTCTCCGCTCCGCGCACTTTCTCACACCACCTACTTCTGCTCCCCCCGTTCTTGCATGTTGGTTTCATAAGTCAGTCAGCAGCGCACTCGGCTTCAACGCCGGTGACCGCGCTTCAATCCCTGGCATCGGTTGCCGTTCTTCTTTTCTTTTTTTCTTTTTTCTTTTTTTAAGATTGTTCGGTGGTTACGGATTGACCGACCTAGACATTTCGTGCTTGCGCGGCTTTTGAGGTTGGTTGGCACGACCGCTTTATTATCGCTCTAGCAGGTCCTAGGACATAAAAGAAGAAAACACATTTCCTCCAGGCGACCATCTTGTATGAATGACTTTAAAGCTAGACTCAGTGAGCGTATCTAGGCCTGCGGAGAAGTAGTTTTGCGGCCACGGTGCAGTTGTCCATAACAAGGCACAAAACCGAGACCCAAGCTCTGCGTAGTATTAGCCTCATTTTAAAAATCTCGAAACAAGGGTTTACCCAATCATGATTCTGAAGAACTACAATTGAAGTTTCCGTGAAAGTACCTAGAAAACGTCATGGAAACTAATATTGGAGTCTGTAATTCCAGTAAATATTTGCACACTCGTTTATTTTTGAAGGGAGCTCGTCTACTATAACTATTCTCCAGTATCTCAGATTGTTCCTGAGAGACTTCGTATCAAAATTACGCTGTTACGAAATTTGGGAGACAAAGTAGAAATTCTCACACATCCAAGCAGTTGAAGGAGAAACAATTGGACACTGTGGAACGCATCGTGCATCGAAATAGCTCATGGTGTCCCAGCGCCACTTTTGCACGCATGTCCGGGTCAAACTGAAGATGGTAGACTCCTTCGCTAATCGTCTGAAAAAGTCAAATGTGTTGCACGAATGTTCAGAAAGCGGGAAGCCGCGGTTCCCTGGTTTTTATACCTCCTCAGTGGTTGGGCGATTTGGCTAGCGCAGTACTACTGCTAGCACAGGACACTCAACGTCATCAACCGGTGTTGGTTACATAACACCCACCGGTACAAAGTTTCGTCTCTATCGAGAGCGCCAAAAGAAGGAGTTCAACGTGTGCTCTCTTAACTCGAAGCGCATGGTTTCGAACGACGCGCCGCCGAGCTGCGAATGATTAACGGGCTCGGCCCCCAAGTTGCTTCTAAGTGTACGTTCCGAAAACCAATCAATCTTAAACTTTTTATGTTATTTATTATAAATAGCGTCACACTCCGGCAGAGTTTCAGTTTCGAATTTCTGTGCGGCATTATTTATCTGATTGATGCAAAGAACATGTTAAACTTTACTTTGGCGCGCTTCTAAAAAAAAAAAAAAATAAGCATGCATTAATAATAATATCTGATCGGGAAGGCTAGGTAAGTTTTGGTGACATGAGCTAAACCATCTCAGTCCTGTAACATAGCTTCATGTTTCGGCTTTTATGGGCTGTGAAAGTTTGATACAACCATGAAGAAACACCTAACAGTGCTTGCGACTGAACTAGTTGGTTGTTTTTCAAGCGCTGATTGAACTACGCTGCGAAATACTACCAAGATTTGACACTAAAAAGGCAACACGGCTTACACAAGTATGCGCTAGCTTGCGTATGTCCAGTCGCCTTCCTAGTCCAAGTCTCGTTTATAGGTAATCATTCGCAACGCAGTTCAATCAGTGCATGAATAAACATCGTCATATTCTCTTACAGCTTCTGCGCTTTTTTTAATGGAGCTGTGGTAACTCTTCGTGACAAAAGCACAAACGTATGAGCGCCAGACAAATGTCTTACTCGAGACCGTATGTCAAATTCACATCTACCAAGCGACCGAAAAATAAAGTTGTGTGTATTGATCAAAAAAGCTTTACCCGGGAGATAAAAACACAAGAAAGTCGTAAAAGATCTCCAGGGTAATCAAAGTTAGTAGATTGAGCTCTAAAAGAACTCCTGGAAGTCCACAAGAGGCATGAATTTTTTTTTTTTTAACACTGAGTTAAAGAAATTGAGAAAGGAAAGGAGAACGGCATTGACTATGAGGCTTCTTTTTTACGAGATAAAAAGACGAAAAGGAATCGAATCGAATGTTTCAGTCGTACCTGGCTTTCCAGCGAACACATTGATGGAGCAAGTTTGCACAATTTTGTCGCATTGATCCTGCAGATCAGAGGAAAACAAAATCATTCACTCTACATTCACTGCGTACATATTATACTCCGCCTACATCGATATCATAAACATGTCATCAAAGCGTGCTTTCTATATTTTAATTATCACAGAATGGAAAAGCTGCGATCGGAACCGTCAGCGTGGTGAAATATCCTGATCGGCTCGTAAAGTTCGGTTTTCGCCGCTAATCGGGATGAGCAGAGCGCTACAACGCACCAATATCTTGATGAGGCTGCATCTGTGCTGCGCAGTTCATGTAATTGCCTCAAGACTAGAGTACAGTAAGGTTTCATTACTATCAAAAGAGATCCAAGTTAGATTTCCCTACATTTCCCTACAACGCTACAATGGTGACACCTAATGTAGCGTTGAAAGAAAAAAAAAAACTAGAATAAGTAAAATGAATCTGTTGTCCCTACTTACCTGATAAAACCATATCCGAAACTTCATTTTACAACGAGTGCAATAAAGTCTGATTTATTTGCATCCGGAAACATAACACCATTAGTTACGACAAACCTTCGATATTAATTTATTTTCAAGCATCAATAAACACGTTTTTTCAAATTGTTATCGCAAGAAACATGTTCGATTTCAAAGCGTTCAGAGTCGTAACTTCGCGTCTATGAAAAGGCATCATTAGTGCAAAAATCAGCAGGCTCACCAGCTTTCGACGCAAATAGTGATTCCAGGAAACAGTATGTTCTGTCGCACCTCCTCTATGATGGTGACCGTGAAAGGATACCGGCGATACATCTCAATAATCTCAGAGGTCTGATATAGGAAGCCGCACATGCAACCCAGCCACACAAGGACGCGCACAACGGTAGACGAGTGCAGGTTCATTGTTCCCAAAGGTCAGCCGCGGTGGGCGACGAATCAAGCTGAAGAAGAATGAAGTTGAAATTGAACTGAGAGATTGACCATAATATATACATAATTCCAACATTGCAAGCGGTACATAAGCACAGTTATGTCATTATCCCGATAACTTCAAAGATAAAAATAATAATGAAACATTCTTAAAACTAAATAAAGCAATTAAAATGGGTCACCCAGGGCAAGAAAACAGTACGGAAAAAGTGGAGCCACTATAATTTTAGAGTCGAGCCAAATCTTTGTCATGCGCAGAATAGCCCTTATTTAGAAACTGTATACAGAGGCCTGGTATTCCGCGCGGCACTGTTAACGAGAACAGATCAGTGCTCTTTTAAGTTTTACTCGGCAAGATTAGAGCACATAACTTTTTTCTTCTTGGATTTGTGCCCGAAGTGAGCACTTCCCGTTACACTAGTAATTTTGATGGCAGGCATTCGATTATGAAAAATAGCCTAAAAAAACACGGACGATAATTTGGTCGATCTAACAGTGCCTTGCAATGTACTGCCGCGTTCATTGTGGGTTGAAACCGACCTTCATGCTTCTTTAGTGTATCTGAGAGTTTTTGACAGAGTTGTGGTTCGAACTAGGAATGGAAAGCGAAGTTCAGGTTCCATACTTCGGACTCTTTGGCAAATGGAAAGATAACAAAGCTTCCTAGGACCGCCGCAGGCATAGAAAAAGTTCAGGCCGGGGGTTCGGGTCATACTGATCGAGATAGTACGTCATTACTCCATTCACTTCCTTAAACCAAAAGCCGCTCGCATATCAAAGAGAAACAAAAACCACCCATCGCATTCCAGGTAACTCACCACAGCTCTCAATGGAGTAGTGCCAGACACCGGGCGTGGTCTCGTAACCAGGTGATCAAATAGAGGAACTTTTTTCGCCTATGTACCAGTCACGTCTTCTTCTCCCAAATGAGTGCAGTGGTGTCCACCAGGCAACCAGACAGCATTGTACCTCTAGACCCAACGGAATACGGGGAATCGATCCACGGCCGTTTCGGAATTACGCAGTCGGAATTGAAAACATGTCTCGGGTCTTGTTCGTCCTTTCGGCCGCAGTGTTCTTTGATGAGACACGCTCGAAAGGCCGCATGTTCGCAAAGAGGTTCCTCTGCGTTGTGAACGCACTCGGTGCGGGGAAAAGGTCAGGGCTGAAGGAAGCCACGGGCTCAAACCGTCGACTGAACGCGACCTCGCTCAGATGACTGTTCGGTGACTGCAGACAGTGGCACATGAAGTCATCGATTTATGCTGCGTTAATCTAAGGCTGTGCTTGACCTTTGAATACACTGCGCAGTTTCAAAATGAGACTAGTTGTTGACTACTGATCAACTATTCGCCCTTCTTTTTCACACCTGAAAGGGCGGTCAATGGATGACCAGCGTAGGTGGTATTAATATTTGCACGTGTATATTTACGTAAAACTTATTGTTTCCTTGTTGTTGTTGTTTTTTGTTTAAAAAACGTAACTAGGTGTTTACTTTGCTTGCAATATTATAATAACAAGCATTCTGGGGGAACTTTTTAGCGTCCCAAAGAAATTACTAAACGATATCATTCTTTCTTCTAGCAAATATCTTATTTCCTAATTTTTACAAAAAAGAAAGCTATTTTGAGTGATAGCACGATGCTGTGTAAAGCCACTTTCGCTTAAGCGCCGACACTTTTTTTTAACTAAAGGTACGATATCTTTTCTGAGGTTTGATATGTCAGTGACTATAGAAAATACTACAACTACTGAAACTGACCGCTTAACAAACACAGGGCAAAGCTTTTCAGTTTTACATATCATCTTGATATCATGCCAATTGAACGTGTACTGTGTGTGAAGGATCTTGGCGTGTACGTTGATAGTGCCTTGTCTTTTAGAAATCATGTATCTTTTATGGTAGGAAGTTCTATGAGAGTTCTGGGAATCATATCACGTTTGTCGAAGAATTTCAGGAGGCCTCATTGTTTGTTACATCTTTACAAATCTTTAGTTAGGTCACGTTTGGAATTTGCCTCGGTAATATGGAACTCAATATCTAGGGCACAGGCCTTGACCATCGAAAATGTTCAAAAAAGATTGATTCGTATTGTTTACGATAGGTACTTTGAAAGGCGCTGTTATTATGACTATGAATACATACTTAGGTCATTTTCGCTAACACTCTTGTCTGAAAGGCGAACGATCCATGATTTTGTATTTTTGCATAAGGTTGTGAATAGTGTAATTGATTCGCCATCAATGCTCAGCAAAGTTAATTTTCATGTTAACTTACGCCATACTAGACATCCCGTATGCTTTGATGTACGTTCACCTTGTTGTACTTCACCGCTTTCTCGGATTCAGACATTATACAACAGCATTGCTCCTAAGCACCTCGATTTCTGTACATCCATTTCATTGTACCGCCATCAGTTGAATAACCTTGTAATTTACTGATAACATTTTGCTTGTTTATTTGTTTTTGGGTGATGGTAATATACCAACGTGTTTCTAGGATTGAACAGGTGCACCAAAGTGAAGACCGCTGTGGTTGTTTTTGGGCACTGAAAATAAAGTAATTATTATTATTATTATTATTAAAGCTGGTGATGATTGCGCTTTCCCCTTTCTGATTCGATTATCGGCATTTATTATGAGCCAGTTGCCTAATATGCCATTCACTGCGAAGCGATACGAAGGCGCTTGAGACTCTCTATGCTCTACGTTTGTTCAGCTGTCCGAGGCAGGTGAAAAAGCACTATATTTCCTTTTGTTGAGAGCATATATGAAGCCCACCGCGTCACACCCTCCATGGGTACATGCCAACAAGCCTGCCAACATCCCCTTGAAATCGGAAACCTTGACATAAAGACCGGTGGTCGCGGATCCATGGCACCCATAGGGGAAATTGCGACCAAACAGTATACGAATTACCCCTCTCAAAAATACCGTAAACATAATTAGATCAGTGGCGAAGATCACTACACTAAATGTTTAAGGAGCATGACAAAGAGATAATAAAAAAAAGTCACAAATCTTGATTTTATTTTTATTTTTATTTATTTCCGTGCTGCTACATCTAATGTCGGTTATCCTTCACCTTCGATGATACGTCAGGAGTGCACAATAGTTGCATTAGGTGCCATCAGGTTTAAGAAATATCTGACTAAATAACGATCGGTAAACAAGTTAAAAGCATTAATGCATCTGCAAAGACTATTGACCACTAATATAAACTTGGTTAAGAGCAACGCAATCCAAAGCAATGAGAAGTGTTATCTTGAAGAAAAAAAAATAGATTTTTCCTTTTCACTAGAAAGCTACAACCTTCCCAGCACGAAATCGACGACGTATCATCCGAGTAATGTCTCGATTGTCTTCCTCGGATAATCTGGAAAAAATTTCAATGACATCTTAGCAATAGATAAGGTCAAGGTTAGAATGTGCAAAATAAAAATAAAAATCTAGTAAGTAAATATGTGCCGTCCCACAATCTTGTGTAGTGTAATTCGAACTCTCTTTTGGAACCGGTTAGAAAATATTTGTTCCCGTGAGGCTGTCGCACCTACATGTACGTTTGATTTGTATCCTGAAGGTCAGTTCGCAAGGTGCGGTTTTACAGAGAAACCTCACGTGTACGGTGCCGCGCAAGAGTCATCAACAAATCTCTCTTAGGTGATGATCTCCAAGCGGTGTAATTGAATTCTCAGTTTTTCGCGGGGGGTTTGACAGGTCCACTTCCCTCCCCTTTCCCTTCTTCTCCCCAAAGCTGTTGTTTTCTATTGGAAAATTCTCAAGAACTTCAAAACTTCACTTGTATTTTAAAATATTTCAGCAGCTTTAGTGCCCCCTGCAACAATTATGACGTAGCCAAGTTTAAGACTAATGATGGACACAGTTGCGCAAGCGTGATGACTTTACATAATCTCCCCACCCCCACCACAAACACACATCCTCCCCGATTCCTTGTTTCAAATTTCATTCATCAACCACTTGGCGATGTGTCTACGTCTCAACTTTGTTCGCCTGTAATTCTGCAAGAGAACTGACTTCTCCGACAGAGAACTAAATCGAACCAGCTACTGTCTTTGTAAGGTGAGCCCGTGTATTTTGCCGGCAACTACGCAGAAGTTGAGAAAACTAGGAGCAGAGCTCCGTGCATTAATCAATCGAGAGGTGATCATAAATCAGCTTCTGTTAGCTTAGCGGTTCTGTTTTCCTGAGCGGAGCAATTAACAAAGCCCACCATCCTCTCTAGAGGCTGAGGCCGTACCTGGAAACCGGAGTGAGCTTGGTGGTGGATGAGACGAAGAAGAAATCAAACAGCTTTTTTTGTAGACTCTTGAGGATGGAGAGCAAGGAAAAGCCGAGCCACATGCCCAAGTAGCCGCCCAAGTAGCCGAATGCCTCCACGATCTGTTCGACAATAAAGCACAAGTTTGAGTCAGACAAGGCCGCGGAAGGTGCAATGATGACATCAGCGTTGTTGTAGTTATGTACTATATACATCGTTTTTGCGTGAGCAAAAGTTCGAATCAAGCAAGGCCGCGGAAGATTTAACCACGACGTCGGCGTCATTGTAGATACAAACC